GCCCAGGAGAGCATCACACACTGAAACCAGGAGCTCATCCGCACGCCCGGTCTTCCCAAAGGCAGAGGCCAAGGGCGAGGCTCTCCCTCCCGGCCCCGCGGAGCCGTCCTGCACCCATGCAGCTCTGCTTGCTGCCAGCGGGTCCCCCACGCAAGGCGTCGGGGTCCTTAACCACACACAGGAACCAACCCCTTCCAGGGGAGCAGGAGACAGCATTGGCTGTAGGAAAGACGCACAGATGTGCCCATTATTCCCAACACAAACCTCCAATGTTCAAATTGTGTTTGGATGGTGGCTGCAGGTGAACCTGGAGCCAGGGGAGGCCCCGTGGCTCTCGTCTGCCTGGGCTGGCAGCTCAGAGCAAGGCAGCTTCCAGCCCGCCGTAGCCAAAAGGGGTTTCTCAACAGGGACAGCCGGCTCTGCCGTAGCCCAGTTGGGTAAGAAACCCAACGGAAGAGCACTGGCACCGGCATGACCAGCCCCGTAACTCACAGCACACCTCACTACGCTATATTAAATCAAACCAGTAATGCAAACCCATCCCTGGCACAGCCAGGCTCCAGGGCAGCTTGGGAAGGGGCAAAGGTGCAGAAATTATTATTAAAGCTCTAAAAGAATTTTATATGTAAAAATAAGAAAGCAGAGGTGTCATCATTAGGATGTATTTGGGAGAGGACCACGACCCACCAGTGGGACTGTGCTATCCCGCTCGGCGCTGCTGCTGGAGTAGGCTCCCGGCTCTCCTGCCCGCCCCAGTCTGTGCCAGCAGCTCCTGGGGACGAAGGCTGCTCCTCCTACACGTGCGGTGCCGAGCGGGAAGGGGCTCTGGTCCTCGCAGCCCATGTCCTGGCACAAGCTGAGAACGTCACTAGTGGGATGCCACCACTCTCCCACGAGCGTCGGCTCAGCAGCCGTGGCACCGCTTTTCTTTTGGGGCTGGGATTTGCCATGTAAACACAAGTCTCTCGTATGAGCAGATCGAACTGGAAACTCTCCACTCGCTTACACCGGTGGATCCTTGTGCCCAGCCGCTGCACCTCAGAGCGGGACACACTTGCATCCCATCCCGTGAACCTTTATCATCATAACCAGAGGAAAACTAGGTCCTCTTTGTTTTTTTTTCCCCCCCCTCTAACCTGTCTTCTAAATCTGGAGGCTGATCTCAAGGTACAAGGGACAAGACCTTCAGCTATGTTGATTTATAACCGCGCTTCTAAATTACAGGTTTACGCATTAGTATAAACACCCATAAACCAGTCTTAAATACACAGTATTGTATGTAATCAAAACGCCAAAACACCGGGCAGCCACGTGATGGCACGGGGGGGACAAGCAAACTCCTCGCTCATGCCTGGACCGCCTCGTCTGGGATGGGCCTGTGGCCAAGTGCTCCCAGTTAGACCAGTGCCTTGCACTGGGGGGTGGATCTTGCCTTTGAAGGGAGGTCCTTGGCCAACAGCAGCATTGCTCGTGCCAGGGGGAGCGAAGGGGCTGAGCCCCACACCTCGCTCCTCCAACGGGGTTGCAAAGCACCATGGCAAAGCAGTGGGGTTGGGGTGAGCTGCTGATGTTCAGAAACTCCTTAAAAAAAAAAAATAAATGTATATAATCTTGCTTTCTTCCAAAAGCATGCCGCCTGGTTTATATATACATATATATATATATCTTGCTTTCTTCCAAAAGCATGCCGCCTGGTTGAGCAGACGAAGGGCCGATGGAGGTCCCCAGGCTGCGCACACCACGGTGCCCCTCCGAGAGCAGGGCCGTCCCCCTGCCCAGCTCGCAGATGGGGAAAGTCAGGCAGATGGAGATTCCCGAGATCGCACAGGGAGTCTGGAGGGAGGGCCATGAATCACACTTAAATCGCCTGCAAGACAGCCCGGCGCTTCGGCCCCGATGGCTCCTTACCAGCTCCTGCTGCCGCCGCGCGGGGCTGGCACGGATCCGGCCCCGGGAGCCCTCTCCGGAGGCCTTCAAAGGCATCGGGGCAGCCCTGGCAGCCCGAGCCATGCGGGCACACGTGTGCTTGTTTCGGGCAGGGAAGGAGGTGGCAGGACTCTCCTCCCCGCTGCCTCCACTCCCCGTCGTGCACTTCTGGGCAAAATCCATTTGCTTTGGCTTCACGTAGGGCCAGAAGATTTGGTCCATTGTGCTGCGGCGCTGAAGAGCCAGCGAGGAATTGTCGACCATGCTGAAACAGTTACATGGGGAGTAATGAAAATTTACTGCACCCTGCTCCGGTCCCTAGCCAAGAAATAAAAGCAAAAGATCACAACAGGCATTTTTTTAATTTGAAGCAAAATTAAAAAAAGAACGGATCCGCACTTAGAAAATAACAACCACATCCACAGATCAAAGCAGCTGTTCTCCTCTCATTCGGGATTTTAAGAGGTTTCTGCAGCTACAGGGATGTTTACACAGGGAGAGAGATACATACATTGTGCTGTCTTGATGCTGCCTCTCCCCCCTTCATCTGGCAAAACATTCCCTGGGAGGCGATATGAGGTCATTCCTAGACCCTGCGTTGTTTTCCTCAAGCTGCAAGGCTTCGGGGCAAGAGGCAATTCATTTCCCATTAGCACACACACATTTGCACTTGGAACCCTCCCATGCACATTTTGCCGGGGGGAGCTCAGGATGGACGGGAGGACCAGCCCTTGCCAGCTTGTTACTGCATTCCCAGAGGGACTTCCAGCAGCTGGGGCTGCCAGGAGGGTCAGTGGCTCTGGCAAAGTCACTGGGAAGGGATATGGAGCTGGGAGGCGGGCTGGCATCTTCTGCAGACAAGCATCTTCTGCAGACCAGCCTTAATGTTTCTGTGGCTTCCACCACTTTTATTACGAGAGGGGCCGAACGGCTCTGGGGAGCACTAATGGGCTGTAAAAAGCTTTTTCCCCTCTGCCTCCTTGGCCGGAGCCCAATTCAGAGCGGCGGTGAGCCCCGCTCAGGGACGGAGGTCACGGGGACGTGTCGGGGCAGACGCTCCCTTTGCCTCTCGGCATCGGCACCTTGGTCCATCTGCTCCACGGGCAGCGCCTGCTTCGGCAAAGAGGACAAATTCCAGCTTGTGAGCCCCCCTGCACTATCTGTGCCAGTGAAAAAGAAACTTTGAAACTAGACCTCCCCATCTCTAGCATGAATTTAATGCCACGTGCTATGGACGAGCCGCATCTTCAGCTCTGGCTGTGCATATTTGCGTGATGCTGCAGCCAAAAGGGGTGTCTGAGGCTGCGCGAGAAGCTGCTGCGAAGAAACAGGCAGAGCAAAACTCCCGTAAAGGACCTTCGGGATCACAGAACCAGCTGTTGAATCAGGCAGGGGTACAGGAGGAGGAAAAGGCCACAGTGCTGCAAATCAGGAGATTTCCCTTCCCCTCCGGTCCCCGAGGACCAAGGGCACAGGGCAGGACCCGACCTCTTCGCTGCATCCAGAGCGCCTGGCAGTTGGGGTGATGGATGCTGGTGCCGTACCCCAACGCTGCACGCGGGAAGGAGCCG